TGCCTCCTCACCCACCCAGCGGCGGCTCTGGAGAGCATGCGCGCACAAGGCGCCAGCACCCGGATGTCCGAGTCCTTGCTGCTATTCTTGCCCCTGTTCTGTGCGGGAGCTTGATGGACCCGAGGAGGCCACCCCAGGAACGGGTGGGTGCACGGTGGGATGGCGAAGGGCAGCCTCTGAGCAGAGGCAGAGCCTCCCCCGGAGGTTGTGGGTGCATGTTGGGAGCCCTCTGTGCAAACACCACCACCACAATTGTTTGCCACTCTGATGTGGTCCTGAGGATCAAATGGAAAGGGGCGCGAGACTGGTTCCTTCCCTCTGTGTCTATGCGGTATCAGTGGTTCAGCCATACACGGGGCGGGAGGGGAGGCATCCTTGGTTTAATCATATACCCAGTAACGGGCATGGGTGGATACCAGTTGTGGGGCAGCTGATCACTACCTTTTCATAATTAACCCATCCATCTGGGGAGATGAACCAGAGACCCTCCTCCCAGGTACTACAGATCTAAAAACAAAAGACTACTGAAAGAGCTTTGTTAACAATAAACTCCCTTATGTCCTTAGGAAGTAGCAATCCATAAATAGCAACTTGATCAGAGACCAGTGGCTTTAATATTACTGTTCCAATTGCTGAAAGCAGAATTGGTTCCACAAATACAGAATAGTAGTGGACATTTTTGTCTAATTATATATATATTTTCCTAACACTTCTGGTACTTCATTGGTGTTCAAGGAAATATGGAACATGTAAATGGTTTGGGAAGGGGGAAAGCCCTTTTTGAGTTGAGAGATAAGACAGACCATTTCAAATCAGAAGAAAATTTGAAGAATGGTTTGAACTTTTCCAAAAGTTTTTCTGAAACAGTGACCTTTGCCTTCTGCTCAAGCCAAAGCAATTTAAAAAAGTTTTAGGTAGTCTAGAGCAGTGGTGGACACCTTGTGGCCATCTGAAGCCCATCCTAGTTGTGTGTTTGTGGCCCATGAGACATTTTGTTTACCATTGTCCAGGCTGCATGATTGCCAGTTTCCAGTGGTCTCCAGCCATATATTTTTTCCTAGCAATATTATAAAAGTGACATGCATGTAAAGCAAGGACACGTGAAGTGAGGTGCATGCTGATTGCACGCAACACTGATTGTGAGAGCCATGTGCTCCTTTCACATCCAATCAAAATGTTATTACAGTTCAGTTGGCACACCCCACAAATTCTAGGTACACACACAGTTAGCAAAACTACCCAGTTCTGGGAGACTGTATTGGTTATGACAATTTTATTACCACTGAACTGAAAGAGGGCTACTTGTATGGCCCACTTCGCTAGCTTAGGCTGCCCATCACTGGTTTAGAGCAGGACAGAAGCTGATTATAACCTTAGCTACCAATGAGCTATTATTGTGCCACAACAAATAAAGCAGCTGAAATTAATAAAGAAAATATGTACAAGGGTTGTCCATCCTCATTTTATAAGGCATAAATTAATCAATGGGGTTAGTAAGACATTTCCTTAATAGGTGCTATTACACAACTGAACAATTTAGATGGGTGGAGCAGAGTTACACCTTTCTTTGAAGTATATGACATTGACTGTTGTCAGATGCAGAATATCAAGACAGACTGTCCATTTATCTGTTGCAGGATGACAGTTTTTATTTCTCACTAGTGGATCAATGAAGAGTAATGCTGTCATCCTTGCCTCAAGCATTAGTTCCTTTATTTTAAAAAACATTAAAAATCTTCTGAAATGCAAATCATCCTCAACTCTTAAGTTAGTGAATAAAGAGGGGGAATCTATTATAAATATGACTTATGAGAAAAATAATTCCAGATAATAATTTAATGCAATCCTGGTAATGTTAGCCAGCGGCTTTACCTATCTGTAGCAAGAATATTTTAAGAATAGCATTAGACTAATACACAGCACTTACATAGTCTAGCTACATTATACATAAAATAGAGGTTTATTAGGGAAAAGCACAATACATTTAAGCACATTTTAGAAAATGGTTGACAGTCCTTGGCTGAAATAGTCACTTTCTTGTTACCTGTGAGAAGAGAGGGGTGAACATTGGACTTCCTCAAATCATCTTCAATGAAGTGCTCTAAGCCAGCCCATGAGATGGCATGAGTCTATTGGAAATATTTAATAGAGATGGCTTAGACAAAGGCCAGGATACATTTTGTATTAAAAAAAAAATCAACGTTTTTGTTGTTCCTGTTTATAAAACAAATTCTGGCCCTTTTGTTAAATATGTAGGTAGTTCCAACTCCAGTTTTATTATCCACCGCTCTTATATATTGTTAATACATATTTTTTTAAGGTTTAATTTGATTTCCTCTATTTTCTGACAATTGTTTATGCTATGAACAAAAAACACTTGGAAGGAAAATATTGCTACTTGACTGCTCTACTTGTATGATTACATGCATAAGGCACAATCTTACAAAGAGGCTGATAAGTAATTTTACATTAGGCATGTGAGTAGTTCCATTGAGTTCACATTACGAGCCCTAAGCCTGCAAACACTTACCCACAACTTTAGCTTTACTACTGTGAGCAGGTCCAATGAAGTTAATAGGGCTGTTCTCGTGTTACACGCTGATGCAGCCCAGAATAGCAGTTTACAAACACACACAACCCCCACCCTAAAACAGGTGGGTTGTCAATCAAAACCTGTAATAACCATGAATAGGGAAGTCAGCACCAGTCTGAACAAAACATGGTTACAGTTGGAAGAGGTAGCAGCAAAAGAGGAATGGGGAGAGAAATAGGAACAGGAAGTAGGAATAAAAAAAAACACTTATACCAGTCATCATATCACAGTAGTAAAGGTGTGTGCTTAAGTGTTAGACAATTTGAGGCCTGTATAACCATTTTTTCATACTACAGTCATCTTCATTTTTTGACCCTGTCTATTGTCTGCTCTCCAGGTGAGTAGTAGTGTCTTTAATAAGGATACACTTAAAAAACAACAAATAGTCTGGAAGCCCTTTAAAGACTAACAAAACACGTAGCTGGTATCATGAGCTTTCATGGGCACAGCCCACTTCTTCAGATGACCAAAATGTTGGATGTCCAGGACCAAAAATAAACACTCTGGTCATCTGAAGGAAGTGGGCTGCGTCCACGAAAGCTCATACCACCAGCTACATGTTTTGTTAGTCTTTAAAGTGCTACCAGACTTTTTGTTGTTTTTTAAGTTTTCCTGTTACAGACTAACTCGGCTACCCCTCTGAAGCTTTAATAGGGATGTTAGAGTGTAACCAGTTAACCGATGAGTTGGTGCTTATTGGTTAATGCTGTCAGTTAAACTCTGCCTCGCTCCCCAGGGAGGCACCTTTGATGCAGCAGTGAAGCCACCACCCCGGAAATGGAGCCTGCCTACCTGGCTTCTGGGGAGGTGTCTTTATTCTGGCAGTGAAGTCTCCCTGGGACCAGAGTCAGTAGCCCCTCCCACCTGGCTCCCAGTTTGGCAGCTTCACGGTGGGCTCTGAAGTGTGAAGCTTATTTAAGCTTTATAATGAGAGCCTGCAGTGCATGTAACCACTAAGATTTTTACCAGTTACATAGTTACCTTATTAAACGTCTTTAACAACCATAGTCTTTAAATATATGGTAAGATCTTTGGAGTACAGACTGAGTTTTGCTCTTTTTTTCAGTGCAACACCCAGCACAAGAGGACCCTCATTCTGACTGGTGACTCGGAGCTGCTGTTATACAACTAATAAATATTTATAATAGATGCAGATGTTGTTTTCTTTAGTACTGCAGTTCCCCTCTCACCACCTCTCCAACTGTTGCCTTTCACCAAGTAGAGCCTTCCTGCTACTTTAACTCCTTCTCCTATTGAAGTCCATGGCAAAAATCCCATTGGCGTCCATGGGAACAAGAGTAGGCTTTTTATTTTATAGTACAGCAAACACCCTCCTTATCCTATATCTCTCATGCTTAGTTTCAGTATTTCAAAGCTTCCTGCCTCCCTGCTCCTCTTACCCAATAACCACATCCTCTCTTTGCAAACTAAACTGACTGTGGCCTCTTTGTGGCCTACTCAGACCTTTCTTCCCCTGATAGTCTGAACTCTTTCCAATGTTTGGCACCATAGTCCCAATCTGGGATATCATTTGCTATGGAGCAAGAGGATAGTTGCCCCACGCTCTGACCTTGGTTTGTCCCTGCTCCCGATTTTTCATAGGCTTATATGCAGCATTGTGTCTTCCACTCCCTGTCACCCAACTCTGCAGGGTATAATGTAATTACATATAGAGCTTCATCAGCTGACACAGCTTTGATCACCCTACCCCACTCTGAATTTTTCTGGAATGATGCTCCTTAAACAGCTGGGGAAAGGGGCAACCAGACCAGGTTATGTGGCTTGCTCCAACTGTCACAGAATCTTGTGGCTTAGTTGCTACGGTTGCCGCTGTAGAAATGAGCAGAATTTCACTCAGCCAAACACTACATTTTAATGGGCTTTATAATTCTCCATCTGTTACTATGCTACATGGAAACCCTTAGCTCTCTTCAACTAAAGACTCACTTTGACGCTGCCCTTGGAAAGCAAGCAGTCTTCTTGCTCAGTGATGAAAGTTCTGTTCTTCAGAAAGTTTATAGGAACTCAAA